TACTCATCGATATCATGGAACTCAGACACATTGTACATCTTAAACTACAAACAGAGAAAGGTAATCTAAGAGAGAACGTGTGAAGGTTTCTGCAACACTGGCCTTTTTGAGGAATTGTGTGAAAATTAGGCTACGTTCACACTGCAGGCAAGAGCTGGCCCAATCCAGTTGTACCTTTTCTTTTTTTTTACCTAGTTGTGACCCATAGCAGATTTGTAATGACAATTTGAACGTGACAGATCCAAATTTTTTTTTTCAAATACAACCCAGGTCACTTTCATGTGATACGAAATGAGATGTTTTTCAAAGTCATTGCAGTCTGAACAGTTATGTTGTATCTCAGACTTTTACACATTGAAGCAGAAGAATACGGATCGACCCAAATATCGAGATTCTTGATATTATTAATACCAACGTCGTGCAGTTAAAAGCTCGGTACGCCACGCATCTTTAGCTACAGAACAGAAGTCCAGTTCCGTCTTTTTTTAAATCTGTTTTAGACTTGCCACGTCCTGAAAGACAGATTTACACCAACGTATGATACTAACAGTGGTGCATCAACATGTTGGATACTAGCATGATGAGATCGAAAGATGAGTCTTTTTCTCCTTTTAGTATATTGCAGAAGTGCAATTCTGTCCCAGAACAAAGATAAATAAAAATGTGACCACACACTTGATGGTTAATTGGCCATAAACGCTCAGAGTTTAGTGAGAGACCATTCAAATTTCTTGCATTTTCTCACAATATTGTGCCAACTATTCCACAGCAGTTGCGGCTCAGTGAGATACCATCTTCAGAGAGAATCTTTGGTGAGGTGGTATTCAGTGTTTATGTTTGAGTGTATGGACAGAGATTCTTTTTTTATATGGTTAAAAATGTTGTAGACAGGGATTAACTGATGTGATATTTGATTTAGATTATAATTTGCAAGACAGAACAATTCAGCTATCTTACCTAGAGGTGTAAAGGCTGGAAATGTTTGTCCAATCTAAACAAATTAAAAAGTAGCTTTCTTGAAGGAATGCATATCGACCACCACCTTGCATGCCAAAGTTTTAAACAATGATGCCATGCAATCTGTACTCGGGTTTGTGTTCTCAATGACTCTCGATTCCAACCACATCAGATTTTAGCTGAAAACTGACCAAGTTAGAGCCTTTTTTATGTTTGCTGGGGTGAATTAGCTGTTGTTTGGTGCTAACCTTCAGTGATAGATGATTACTTTAAAGTTTCATTAAAATCATTAGAGATGTCTTAGACAGACTAACACATGCTCACACAGATGATTGACTATTTATCAGAGTGGTTGGTAATGAAGGAGAAAATACAGTTTAATAATAAAAATGATACATCAAACCTATAAAGTGCTTTTTTAGGACACTTTAAAGAAGCTTGGTGGTGGTAAGCTACATTGTAGCCACAGCTGCCCTGGGGCAGACTGACAGAGGCGGGGCTGTCATGCACCGGTGCCACTGGACCCTCTGACCACCACCAGTAGGCAAGGTGGGTGCAGTGTCTTGCCCAAGGACAGAATGACTGAGATGTACGGAACAGGGGATGAAACCAGCGACCCACCAATTACAGGATGACTCCCCCAACCACTCAGCCTTTTACACTTTAGAAACTGTTACTATATATCAAACTGTTATGTTTGAACTTACATGATCTCATAAGTTACTTATAAGTTGCATATAATATTAACTAACATACAGAGCCTGTGAGGGGACATGGGGGGATTTTTTTTTTCTTTTGCGTTCCCACGCAATACTTTTGCGTTACGTCTCAATAGTTTTGCGTTACTTGGCAATAGTTTTGCGTTACCTCGCAATATTGTTTTGCGTTCCCACGCAAAAGTTTGATTTGTATATGAACTGAATTAAATCAGACTTTTATTTTGAAATATCAAGTTACCAAAACAGGATGTGTCGCCACAAGTTCAAGAAATTGACATTGATGTTGCGTGGCTGTACTGTGTTAAAATATCAGCATACGACATACTTCCATGCGTGGCTGTTGGATATATTCATGCTGAAGCTGAATTAAAGTAGTAGGCTAACGCGCTAATGGTAAACGAGAATTTGTTAAAAACCGGCAGGCACAACAGTGATAAACTACTTTTGCGAGGGAACACAAAATGTATTGCGAGGTAACGCAATACTTTTGCATGGGAACGCAAAAAGAAAAAAATCCCCATGTCTCCTCGCAGACTCCTACAAACAAGATACTTTCTCCTTTGTAAAAATAAAAAAAAATGTGGAATTAATTTGTTTCTTTTTCGTAGTTTTGAAGGGTTGTCCCCGTCTTTGAAATACTAATGTCCTCTTTCAAAGACAAGTTTTTTTGTCTTCTTCTGTGACGAATGAATGATAGGAGCATTTTGTTTGTGAATCGTCTGAGCAGGATCAAGAGCCGTGTCAAATATTTCTTGCTTTTAATTAAAGCAACATCTAAATTAGCTTTGAAGACGACACTGTGATCAGCTCCTCGCCGCAGCTGCAAGGAGTCCCTGTTTGTCGGGTTCAAAGTCTTGTTTTTCTTTTCACTTTGTTGTTCAAACGTGCCTGTTTGTGTGAGTCAGAGTCCATATGAAAGGTTAGGAATGAAAAGATAAACAGCTACCTGCAAACACCTGTCCACATGCGCACACCTGTGTGTGTGTGTGCGCGTTTGTGTGTGTGTGTGCGAACACAGCTGCCAAGCAACTGAGACTGAAGGACAGCAAATGAAAGTGAGTAGGAGTTGTTCCAAAACGGTATCAAGGAGGTGGGAGAGACAACAAGCTAAAAACGATAGAGGGAAAACTGTTTCCGTTAATACACTTCCCTTTATGTTTGCCCACACCACTGATGTGCACACATTTAGAATAAAGCTAAAGCTCCTCCGCCACGCTCTTTGTAATATGATTAGCTTTGAGCTCCTGTGAACAAGGTCTTACCTCAGACAAAATGAAATATGATTTGCTTTGAGCGTTTATGTACAAAGTCTTTGCGATGAAAGAGAACCTAACAGCACAAGAGTGTCTCAGACAGCGCAAACTGTGTGTGTGAGAGTGTGTGTGTGCGTACGTGATGAAGAGGGAACTCGCTGGCCTCCGCCCCCCTCCTCCCCGCACCTTTAAACAACACAACCTGCTGCACGCACTTAAAAGAGCTTGAGAGAGCAGCGTGCGACCTGTTTAATCTTCCCCCTCTTGCAAGACCCGGCGCGCCCTTTTCATCTTCCCCCACTAACCGAGGAAACAAGAGGCTCAGAGCAGGAACCAATTAATGCAGATTAATTGATAATAAAGACTTTGTGTCACTTTGCCTCCTGCTGCCGCTGCCTCGAAGGCGGCTCGGTGTTTGACTGTATGAAAAATGTGACTCTTGGGCAGCAGAACATTCTGAATATTCAGAGTATTTGGCTCCGCTTCTCACGTTAGCGTGTAAAAATAGTAGCTTTATTATTTTTATAGTGTAACATATTGTGATGCAGCCGGAATGTGGAGGTGAATTTTTTTAGGATATGTTAAATTAATTTTCTTACACAAATATCTATTTACGTCTGTGTAGTACTTCATGTTGTCATCTTTTCACGTGAAGCTTAAAAATAAAAATTTGATTGAACTTCATTTTCACAAGAGTTTAAAAAGAGTTTTAAATTATTTTAAAATTCATTTCTGGTTTGAGATAGAAAAGGTGCCGAAGGTTTTTTTTTTTTTTTTTTTTTTTTTTTTTTTTTTTTTTTAGAAAATTTAGCCTTTTCGATTTAAAACCAAAAAAGAAAAAAAATTAAAATATTTTAGTTCACAGAAAAGCATGCATATTTCTGGATTTTTTTTTTTTTTGTAAAACTCAGTTTAGTTTCAATTTTGCAAGTTTTGCCATGATTCAAATATGAGTCGTTTAAACAGTGTAACGCTTAGGTGTAAGGTCTGTTAATGAATCGAAATTGTTCAATCTGCTTTTTTTAAAGGATAAGAGAGTAACTAAAACAGTACTAAGGTTTAAGCTTAGGATATATTTTGTTTGACCAGTGCTCCTCAATATTTTTAATATCACTGCAGTGTGGGACTAGAGTGCCAAATAAAAGCTTTGAGTAGGGTGAGTAGGTGTTGTAATAGGGGTGGGGGTTATAACCTGTTTTTTTATGCATCACAATGTGGGCATGGACAGTCTGTTTAAAAGCAGTTTAAAATATGTCAATCAATTATCAGTTTTTTGTTAATAATGAAGAGGAACACAATAAGTGGTACGCTGACAGAAACACAACAGAAACACATTAACAAGGCTGACGAAGACATGCAAACAATACGACAACTTCTGGATTGAAAGCTGGTGTTTGAAAGAGTTTTATCTTCTATGAAGTTAAAGGGGAAAATGACGTTGAGAAAAGCATGCTGTATGCAAGCTGTGTACGTTTCCATCTGAAAGAGGAAGAAAAAAAAAGGTAGTAGCTGCTCTTGTCCACCAGAAAACCATCAAGTGACATCAGCTTCCTCCTAACTTAGAAAAGGTGAAGCAAATCACAGCTTATTACAACTTTTATTGTGAAGGATTAGCATTCAGTGGTTGACTATGTTACTATGATTTGCACTTTGGAGCTATGATCAAAATTGCAGAAACAAAGAAGAAACAGGGTAACAAGATCCATTGTCACATATTGTTACGTCAGGTTTTGTTGCTGTTTTAGTTCTCAAAATTTTGTTTGAATAGGAAGTATAATCCGCAGTGTGGTTGCAAAACAGTTTTCCTTTTAGGTCTGAGAGATTTTTATGCTCAGGACTTTGATGTGGGACTGTGAATGCATCGACAGTTGTGTTATAATCGCATCACAAATCTCTGAATTGTAATTGAATCATGAGGTGCTTAAAAATTACTAACCCTCGTGATTTAGTTTTTTATAGTGCCTTCAAATTCAAGACACACGCACGCATGCACGCACACACACACACACACACACACACACACACACAATGTTGCCCGCATAGATTTTAAACCTTGCCGTGATAAGGATACAGTGCTGCCTGAGTAGGGCGATATGTCAGCCATGTCCTGCAGATCTCCACACTCGGACTTGATGAGGGACAGCGACAGGCCCTCTGGCCCATGTTGGCTTGGAGAAGTCTGCCTGTGGTGATGGTGACCCATGTGGCCTCCTCCGAGGGCCGCCATTTTGGTTCTGAGGCTGACGGTTTCGCGGGTTATGTCCATGGCGTCAGGGGAGGATCGACTGTGGTCCTTTGGCCCTGGAGGGTAGACGGCACCGCCCCCGTGCGACCCCAACGGGCTTTGAAAGGGGTAACCCATTAGGGGGAGAGGGAATGGGTGGCGAAACGACGGAGGGCTAAACCCAAGCGAAGCTGTGAGGGGTGATGGGTGGAGGGAGGGATGGTGAGGAGGGGGAGGGGGAGGAAGAGAGGGGTTTGCGTTCTCCACTCCACTCCCCACACTTTTCCGCACCACCAGTGGGAGGGCCTCTGTTTGATCGTTGGGTGTCGGCACGCCACTCAGTCTGCTGGTCAGACCGCTGAATGAATCCAGCGGGCTTGGAACAATGACGTCCCCGAAGCAGTGCAGCCTCTGGTTGGTGGAATGGTAGTTAGGCGTGGGACTGCTTTCACTGTTCAGACCGAGGGCCAGGTTACCGCCACCGAATCGGGACTCTGGGGTAAGAGGGGGGAGTGGGCCAAAAGGTGGAGGACAGGAAGAGGATGAGTTGGAGGAAGAGGAAGGTGCAGCAGGTGTGCTGCTGTGGCAGCCATGATGATGACTGGAGGTCTGTTTGGGCGGCGAGGAGAAACCCTTAACCACTGTGTCGACAACCTGTGACACAGCACAATTCAGCTCCTGCTTTAGAGTTTCAGCCAACTGCCTTCCCCCTCCTCCCGCCTCTCTCCTCTTCATCACCCTCTCCCCATTCCTCTCCTCTTCCTCTCTGCTGTCCACATCCTCCTCCATTTCCCCGTCTATCAAGGCCTGCTCACGGAGGAGCGCACGGGCTCGGTCCAGGAACAGCCCAGGGTCCAGATCGGACAGATCATTGTGGTTGTGCCGCCCTCTGTCTCTGTGCCTCTCCTCTAGCCCATCAGAGCGAATACTGTCCTCTGACAAGTTTCCATCTTCCTCTCTATCACCACCTCGGTCCGCCTCTCCATTCACCCCGTTTTCCTCCTCCTCCTCGGTTTCTGAGTCGTAGATCTGGTAAAACTTCTCTTGAAGTTGACGCAGCTGTTTCTGAACAAAGGAGAGAAAAGGCAACATAAGGAGAATCATAGTGCAACTTTTGGTCATCTGTTAACACAAATATACTTTGGATATCTTGTGACTATTGTGAGGGAGATTGCTAAATAACCCAAGGGCACTAGGATTATTTTTTAGTAAGAACTACCATTTGATGCAGTTTTTTTCTGGTGTTTTGTATCATAAAGAACACCTTCACTAGCTGCGTTTCCATTGACCATGAAAATGCGCACATTAGAATTTAAAAAAATTAATTTGCTCAATGGAAACACATCAGTTTCGAAAAAAATAGTTTTTCGACAAAATGTTTTTGCGTTAGGAAGAGGTGGTTTTTCGGCCGTATGGAAATTGGTGTATTTCACAAAACTGCAATGGAAACACTTTTTTTTGCAACACGGGAGTCACGTGATCAAGAACCGGCTGTTTCTACTGGCGAAAAAGACGACGAAGAAGAAGATAACAGGAATCACCGAAGTAGTAAAAGAAAGTAGTAAATTCACCAACTACAATTTCCCAAAAACACAGCATACGTAGCCACTCCCAAGTCTAAGGGGCTTGTCGCTGGAAAGCCTCAAGAAGACGTCGACGTCTCCTCTGATGATAAGCGCTAGTGTCATGGTAGCAATATGCTATGTGTTTACATCCATTGCCGCCATGTTTATAATGAATTATCGCAAGAACAAACGTATTTACGCATTGACTTTAATAGCGTTTCTTACTTAATGGAAACACCACAATTGCGAAACTGTGTTTTTCGACATTAACAGAATATTGACAAAGTTTTGCTCACATTTGCAATAGAAATGCAGCTACTGTTTCCATGTTAGAATCTAAAGAATTAAAGATTCTTCTCAAGGATGCATGTTGCCAAAATAATTGTTGAAACAAAGCTTTTTGTAATTTTTTCGTAGTTGCCAAATAATACTTAACGTGGCAGATTGTGCTCGTAAATTCCACCACAAAAGGCAGGTTATTACCTGCATGTCTTCCAGCTGTAGTTTAAGCTGCCGTCTTTCCTCCTGTCGCTGCTCCTGCCTGGAACAAACCAGCTGGGTGAAGCTGTGTTGCTGCTGAGGCAGACGCTGCTTTCTTTTATTCTCCCTGTAGACCTCGCCAACACTAACCATGCCGCCTCGCGAACCCGACGAGCTCAGCAGGGACGAAGGGCAGTCGCCGCGCCGGCTGGTGGCATGACTTCCATCGTCTCTTCTGTGGTCATTGCTGCTGTTCTCGTTCTCCCGGTTGCTCTCTTGGTTGTGGTCGCCACCATTCGGCCGGACCAGCGGAGAGTGACTCATGCCGCGGATGATGTTCTCCACGCGGGCTCTCTTCGCTTGGAGGTGCTCGTCCGACAGCCTGTCCAAGTCAAAGGAGGACAGGGACAGAGGTTGCGAGGGGGCGTGCGAGATGTGGTTTGAGGGAGGTGGTGGCCGTCCAAAGGTGGAGGAGGAAGACTGAGGAGGAAGAGGAGGCCCAGGAGAAAGGCAGTCGGATGGGCTGTCGCGGGATGAATTGCTGCAAGCGTCCTCAGCCTGGATCTCAGAACCTCCGCTAGATAGAGCGCCACTTCCCTGTGCCGAAGAACAAAAACACAAACTTCGTAAACTGGTAAAGAACTCAATCAGTTCAAAAGCTTCTCAAATTAAAAGAAAAATTGACTTTAAGTCCAGATGTTTTTGATTCAGCTTGTACTATTTTACAATATGCTAAAGTTGGGAACTAGTTGGCGAACTGCATTCACAAGAGAGTTGCAGAGTCTATTTTATCACTTGAATTTTGACCATGTTCAAAAAATTTTGCGCCAATTTTTTCCCCCTCCAAATAGGTTTAAGGATAAAGTCTTGAACCAATTGCAAGGGTGATTTCTGAGGCTAATGTTCAGGTCTAAAAACTGGTTAAAATCTGCCTATCTTCATTTCCAAGCTGCTGTCCAAAGGGGTACAAAGCAGGCTATGTTCTAAATGCTCCCAACAATAAGCCGAGATAATCTCACACAACTCTCTGGTCAATTAGTCACAAACACTCACCCATTTTCTTGCAATTTTAAGTCACCAACTAGTCTTCAACAGTTGTAGCCCATTAAAATACTACTTTTAGGAACATCATGCCCTAAATGACTGATAATCTACACCAGTTTATATTCTGTTTGCCTGAATGAAAATGCTTCTTAATGTTAACTTTCTTTATGTGTGTTTGTACCTGGAAGCCTGAATCATTACCCCCATTCTTTCCCATGCTGTTCTTTAATAACTGGGAGATAATGGTAGCACCAGGAAAGGGCATTATCACATCTTCATACGAGTTGGCCCTTTTCAGCAGCTTCCTCAGGACATTGGATTTCTCCCCATCACCGTTGGGCCCCCCGTGGCTGTGACTGACCAACGAGCAGTCTCCCTCCTGGTCGGGGCCGTGCGACTGGTTCATGCTGTCCAAAAGGCTCTCCCTGGCGCGGGCGAATATCGCACTGCCCACAGTCCTTTTCACCCCGATGTCAACACGCCTGCGCTTGGTCTGTCTGGTTAGGAGGGTCGTGCTGTCATGATCAGGCATCACGCAGGGCAGCTAAACAGGCATGACCAAGGGGCCTCAGAGGTACACTCACAGTGAGAGAATTACCTTCAATGAAAAGAAAAACAAACAAACACAAACTGATCAGTTTGGTTATATTTAATAAATTATGGCTGCAAAACACAAACCTAACGTAAAATGTCTTCGTGGTTAACTTGAAAAGAAGTCTATTATCGATCCACGTAACAAAACCAACAGACAGAAGAGCTTTGCATTTCTTTTTTGACCAAAAGCCAAGGGAACCACAGCGAGAAGCAGACCGATTTTTTAAATAGTTCAAGGAGATCGTCCCACAGAGAAGAAACACCTGTCTGTAATAACCAAAATAATTTCCCCATTTCCTCTGCGTCCCCGTGAGGTCTACCCTTGATTTCTGCGTCTTGCGAGGAGCCTCTCTCATTGTCAGAGGTATTTCCCGCTGCTCCAAAGACTAAAATAAAAGTTTTGTATTTTTTCATTTGACATCTAATGCTGCTTTTTTTTACCCCATCTTTTTTTAGGAAACAACACACTTTAATGAATTTCACAGATGTCATTTTGAAATAAAAACACAAGCCCAAATGTTATCACTAACTGTCACCAGACTCTTAACTGGGTCAAATGTCTCCGACATTATTGATTAGATCTTTTCCAGTAAAAATCTCCACAATATACTAGCTTGGTAGTGTGAGATAAAAGAAAATATTACAAACAAAAAAACATTTATTTTTATCTCTCAGCACACACAACAAATGATTCTACTTGAGGAAGAAACAAGAATAAGAGTCATGAAGGTGAGGTTTGTCGTCTGGTTCCGCCTCAACTGCTCTCATTTACACCAGAAACTGAAACTGATCTATTATTTAATTTTAGGAAAAGATGTCAGAATTGACTTTTATTTTAACAGATGTGGATTTTTTTTAAATGGGCAAAATAGAAGAGTTAATGGGTTGGATTAAACTCCATTTTTTAAAATGCAGATATTAAAAGTTTTTGCCACAGTTCAACTAACAGATTTTGCAACAGGTTGCAATTAATTTAAGCTAATATACAAGAATGTAAATACCATTTTAAATTAAATAAATAATCTAAATAAAAAAAGAGGAAGAAAAACAAAGGTTTCAGCTGTATTTACTGCAACAGATTTTATAATTTCAATTACCTAAGCAAGGCAATTGTTACATTTTAAATTACTGGTGGAAATTAAACACAGAGACGCTGATAAAATCTCACCTGCAGCTGGACTGAATTGATTCAAATCATTTTAAAATGAGTAAAAACGCTTCAGTAGAGCTGTATTTTTGTAAAACATCAGGAAACAAAGTTAAAAAAAATCCAAAATAGTTTTTAGAATCTTACATTTTGCTTTGCATAGAGATTTTTTTTGAGAATGAACGTGAAATTATTTTTCAAGTTTCTTACTTTTAGCCTAAATTTAGAGCTTTATCAGTCGCAGGTGTAGTTTATGCAACAATTTATTTCACTTTTCATGAAGCAGCTCTTTACAGTAAAAAAAAAACATTTTAGTGAACTAACTAGAACGCTAACGCCATCTTTTATTGTCACAAATTTGTATACCTGCTTAAAAGACTGACTCCATTTCCACTTTTTAAATCCCCACAACCATCATTTAACAAAACGTCACGACACAGCTCCTCTGCAGCTGGACTGTGTTGACTGGCATCGTTTTAAAAAATGAGTGAAAACATTTTCAGTGGAGCCGCAGTCTGGTAAAATGTCAGTGCTCTCTTCAGGAAGCAAAGTTCAAAAACTCTCCTGGATTTTATTAGCGGATTGGTGCATGTTAATGCTCACTGCCACACACACACACACACACACACACACACAC